GTCGGGAGTTGCGGTCTGATAAATGTTGAGGCTTTAGCCGCGGACTTTTTGTCCGGAACTTCTCCAGCGCAGCGCGCACGACGCTGCATTATATTCGCCTCAGCCGATTCTCAACAACGTCCGTTCGTCCGCGTATCCTCTCGCAGCGCTCTCGGAGAGCTCTGTATCCGGGGATGAAAGGATACTGTGCGGGCAGGATCCCTTTCAGCTTCGCATTACGTACATACGACGCACATAAACGTAGGGTCACGGCAAGAAATAGGGATAGGATGAAATAGCTAATAGAGAGAAGGTTCACCTTCGCGCGCGAGGACGCGGGGAAAGAGAGAGAGAGAGAGAGAGAGAGAGAGAGAGGGAGGGAGGGAGGTGGAGAAGGGAGGAGATTTAATCAAGTCGGCTGCGCTCGATTATCGGGTCGCAGTTACGCGGATCGTTACGTCGTTTCTCCGTGCAGAACGCGATTCGCCGCCTCGCGTTAATTTCGCGCTCGTACAGCCGCTCCGCTCTCGTTGCTCTCAGATCGAGAGCTTCGAAATACGCGGCCTCGAAATCGCTGTGAAAGATCTTCCTTTGGGAAAAGGGGCCCTCGTGTTGCGAACGGAGCGGTGGTCTCCTTCAGGATCGCGGCGAATGGACGCGAGATGGAAAGAGAAGATGACGAACGCCAGGTCAGTGATTCCTGTGTCGCGTCGTTAGTGACTGCGCGGAAATGAGTTCGATGATTGAATTATTTTGTCGAACTTTACATACGTCACATACCGTACCGGTCGATCGGCGGAATTACACGATCACGAGAGCTCCGTTGCCTCCGTGAGATTCAGGACGCGTTTGTTATTGCGTGTTCGATAGGAAGATTTATCCTTCGGGAATTACTGAAAAACATTTTCCTATTGGATACGAACGCGTCGCGACACTCGTTGAGAAGAAAAAGCTTTTGCAATTCTTGCAGCTGATTTGTACGCAAATATTTTGTTTGCGTCGGAATTCGTTACATCTCCTCAACGATCCTTCTTGATTATGTCGTTTTACAAAAGTTTCACACGGGGTCTTACGAGCCGCCGCGGAGAAATTCATTTCCAATTGGATGAGGAATGCATCCGCGCCTGCAGCTCCCTCCTCTTGTCGAGCGTGCAGTTTCCGAGGAAAATGGGAAAGAAGTTTCGAGTGTGAAGATTGAATATTTAATTTATTTTTATTTTGGCGCGTCGTGTGATTCCGTAAATACCGACACCCTGTCGTTCGCCGGTCGTCTCCATTCATTTTCCCGTTTATAAAACGCCGTGTATCGGTCAGATCGGGTCAAATTGAGTTAGATTGCGTCGGATTAGGTTAGGTTATGTCCATATTTCACGAAGGATCACCTGACGGGTCGAACCTTGCGCGAACGAACGGTGCGACAAGGCTGTTAGGCGAGCACAAATTGGCCGGTTCCCGATAAATATCGACGCGGGCGTAAAGCTGCGAGAGCTTTACGAGATTAATCGCCGTCCCTTCCGTATGACGAGCCACAGCCATCTTGGAAACGCGCATTCGGGGATTCGTCTTTGTCGACGTCGTCTACGTCGTCGTCGTCGTCGTCGTCGTCGTCGTCGTCGTCGTCGTCGTCGTCGTCGTGACCCGCGGCCTGCGCTCACTTACGTTCTATCCCAACCTAATCTCTCGCAAAATTACCTACCGCGAGGTGCAATTAAATCGTTACGGCAGCCTCGCCGCGAGGATCAGCCCTGCAGCACTTAAAATGGCGGCCCGCTTTGAAGACGCTCACTGCCACTCGCTAAATTTAACGGCGCTTGAGTCCTCGCGCTTGTTGAACAGCGTCGTCGCCGTCGTCGTCCTGATGAGATTATGCGATATTAATTGCGAATCTAACCTAACTTATCTCTACCTAAGGCGTTCGTATTTAAGCGCCGTTTACTTGCCGACTAATTGAACCCGTCTACCAGTCTTTGACGAAGATATTTCACGTAATCACTTCGTCCAACGCGCGAGTCGCCAAGATTGTCGCCGAGAAAAGTGAGGTGTGCTCTCTTTTTCCCTCTCTTTCTCCTTTCTCTCTGCCAAGTTTCCCTTATCTCTTTCCACTGGCGCGAACTCGATTATCAACCCCGTTCACAGATTCCAAAATGTTTTTTGGGAACACAATGTCCCAATAATTTTTCCCTTTCATCCCTCAGAGATGATCGCCAATCGCGATGCGAGTCACCCTGTAGCGCGAGTAAGACGGCGAATTGGAAGAAGCTACTGGACACGTTCCAGATCGCGCTGGTACCACTGTATTAACCGGACCTAACGCAACCTAACCTAACTCAAACCCAACCTAATTCAATCGCAAACCCAACCTGATTCGAATCGCGTGGCCGGCAGATGTTCTCGTCTAAGGCGAAATGAAGGAGGCTCATAAATGGAGAAGATTTCACCTTCGAGATAAAATATCCTCCCTCCATGACAAGGAGACAACGTGACGTCCCAACTCCCCCCTCTCCCCCGCTTGCCTTCTGTTTCCGAGAGATTTCAAGCACGCGAATCACAATGTGAATCGCGCCTATAGCGCGAATAAGGCGGCGGAATTGGAAGAAGCCGCTGGACACGTTCCAGATCTCGTCGGCATATTAACCCTAACCTAACACAAGCTAAGCATAACCCTAACCCTACCCGAGCCCGACCCAGCCTAATCCGAGCCCAAGCTTACCCAACCTGATCCGAAGCGCGGCGGATGCTCGTGCTTAAAGCGAAATGGCGGCTGCGCCAGCCAATGGACACGCCGCGGCCTATGTATCATAATCCCGACAGTCCGGGGTTAGTTAGCAGTTTGTTTGTTCCCGAATATCCGGCCGGCCCGGATGCCGCATGCCGCATGCGGCATGCCGGATGCGGCGGAGCGCGCGCGGACGCATACTAACGCGCGGCGAAATAGTTTGAATGCGCGCGGCGCTTTTTCGAAACGAGGTCGGAACCCGCCGATACATCCGGTTATCTCGGCTCACGTGGATCTTGCGGCGATGGCGCGACTAAACCTGGATCCGCGAATAAGTCGGGAACGAGGGCGACGGATCGTTCGCGTCAGGACTTGGAAGCTGCGATACTTCGTCCAGACCGATCTCCGTCTCCGTCTCCGCGAGCTAGAGAGAGAGAGAGAGAGGACGAATTTGATTGGACTCTGGAGGATTCTCTATCTATTTAATTCGCAGGAATTCATTTGATCTTCAAGAAGGAACATATGCCGATCTTTTGCATAATAACGAATGCAAAGTATTTACGTATTATTATTATTATTATTAACATACGCGGAGAGGAGAAACTTTCGTCCTGGGATTAACGAGCCTTGGTCCCGTTTGTCCAACACACACACACACACACACACACACACACACACACACACGTGGACGAGCATAATTAAAAAATACACCTCTCAAGTCGCGCGTTACTTCGTCGCCCTCGCAAACTTTTCACTTTGTCCTTCCAACTGGCTGCGGAACTGGCTTAAATTATATTAATATCACGTACCTTCCGAGGGGAGGGAGGGGGAAGTACCGGTCTGTCGGTAATATGACGACGAAAAATTGAACGGCTCGGCCGTGGCAGCGGGTGATGCGACGCGGTATCTGCGAGATTTGACTTCGCATTAATCAATTACGACGAACACAACGGACGAGTGTGAGTGGCGCGCGTTCTCTTGGCTCGCTCGCTCGCTCCTTCAATTAACAGACAGTTGTTTGATTTGGAGTTTTTCGCACATCGGTGCTGATTGAATTACCCAGGCGTCGCCCGGCGGCATCCCGATGCACCGTCTCCATTTCCTCTCTCGCCGCTCGTTCCGACCCAGCGACCTGTGACCTTCTGCCATCCACCATCCATTATCCGCCGGCTTCTTTCATTCGATGCGCCCCGGTCTGCACACTCCCGTGCACTTTGATACCGCATCCTACAGCGCGTTCCAAAGCTCCCACCTTGCCCATGTAGCGAGGGTGAATTCCGTTAATTAATTTAATTACTTTTATACCTGCGTGTCGCTGTTCGGTGCGCGCAGCAGGTAGCCTGAGCTAGCAAAGGTCGCCAAGTCTTCTTAAAGCCTTCCTCGGAGGGAGGGTATTATGTTTCGCAAAATGTATTTTTATCCTCGCGTCTGTACCTGCGAGGATCTGTCTCTCAAAGCGCTGGGATAAATTACGCAATAAAAATACTAATAATAATCAAACAGATACCTCTCGGGAATTAATTTAGATCAAAACGCAAGGCGCGAACTGAACCGATTTTAATTAAATTTAAATTATTTCTCAAGCGAGACGAGAACAGTTCTGATTACTTAATCGGAAAAAAGGAAATTAAAGTTTAATTAAACTGGCTATTGCGCGAGATTTCCCGAGGATTATATCGGGGCGATGCGCTTTGCAACGGGAGTTGCACTCGACGAGGGGGAAAATCGGATCGAGCGTTTTCGGCGACACCCTGTGTCGAAGCGAAGAGAGCTCGCTGAGAGGAGTGTTATGAAGACGAAGAGACCGCCCGCGCCGCGCCGAAAGTTTCGCATTAGATATGAACACGCGGGATGAAATGTGGCACAATAAACGGGGGTGTCGGCGTATTTCATGATAATGTAGGCCACTCGTGGTGATTCACGGCGATGCGGACCGCGCGGGTAAATGCGCGAGGTCGTCGGCGATATTAAAAGCGATCTTGATCCTCGCGCGAACTCGTCGTGTTTTCCGCATCGAAGAGAGAAGCGTCGAGAGTTGCAACGCGTCTCGCCTCGCCTCGCCCCGCCTCGCCCCGCCTCGCCGGTGTTAATCAACTGAATACGCGATAAATCAAGCAGCCCCTGTATCCCCGACGACGAATAAAAACGAGCGGCCCCTCTCCCGCGTAATAGGTAATCTCTAACCTATATCCATCTATTCGCCGCCTTAGTGTAAGCGCGCGCGCTAGAATTAATGCATAAATGTATAAATTAATTACATATCGGCGCGGTCATACACATCATAGGCGCGCGATCTGAATTGCAGATGAAGAATCCGGCATCTACACGGGCAAGCCGTTGCCCACGTACAGACCGGCCTCCCAATTGGTGCCTCTCAGGGGAACCGCGAGACTCTTCTGCGAGGCTTACATGGGCAAGGTGAACCTGCCCGACGCCAGGAACTCCGTCACCTGGTGGAAAAGCGGCAACAACGTGACCCTGCCCGCCGACGACAGAGTAGCGCAGCACCAAGTGTCCCGGTGAGTAATCCGAGAGTGATCAATGACGACGGCCGCCGAAGTTAATCGCTCACCTCGCGGAGGCGACGATCCCGATGCTATCGCGACGGAGAAATGCGCGGTAGCGGTTGCACGAGGAGCAGAGGAGCGGAGGAGGGCGGAGGAGTGGCCGTTGAAAGCTGTTGAGGGATCATTGAAGCTATTAAAACGGTCGTTCGCGCGTGACGACGACGAGAGCGCGTGGATGAAGTTGGACGGTATTTCTGGCACGACACGTTGGATCGCCGTGTTTCATAAGGCATGATCAATTGTGCATCGGAAAATCTCTCGTCTCGATCAAATTTCTACAAACAGTTTCTTACGCGGCCGAAGTAGGAGACCAGTGGAAACGGAGTGAAAGATACGCAATATCATAAGACTTATCTTTAATTGCACTTTTATTACTTGCCTTATTTTTATTCTGATATCTTTTACGTGATTTCTCCTCGTTAAATTTTTGAAGAATCTTATATTTATTAATGCTTTATAATTTTTTACATCTTCGTTTATTGTATATCTTTTATTATATATCTTTTATCATCTCGTCGTTCGGTAATTTGATGACTTCAGTGAAAATTTTAACTTGTCATTAAGACACTCGGTAGAAGCGCGATTAATATTCTAACAGAAGCGAAACGAAAGGACGTAACTTCGCGGGATAGTTTTTGCGGAAGATTCCGAGTTTGAGCCGAGGTTGAAGGTTAAAAGGTTCCGGCGAATGTGTATTTGATGTATATCTGCATTTTCCGATCGGGAGAGCGCGCGCATCACTCGAGGTGCTCTCTGGGTGATTTGGAAGTAAGAGCGAATTTAAGCCCGCGGGACGTCGGTGTTCGCGGCATACTCGAGAATACACAATGCATCAAGCAGGTATCAACAAAGAGAGAGAGAGAGAGAGAGAGAGAGAGAGAGAAAATACGTACCTGCGTATACGCAGAGAGCTCGGCGGCTTCCTGTAGAAAGCGGCGGGCGAACGTGAACATTCAGCCGGGCTGTTGCGATCCATTCTTCCGCGCCACGCGGCGTCGCATCGCGCGTGCGAGTATACAGGTATCTGTCGTCGCGCGGAGAGCTACTCCATCCCCCGTAACTCAATTTTCACGACGATGCACCGTCACGGTGCATCGCCACGGTAAACACGGCGCGCGGCGCGGCGTGGCGCGGCACAGCGAAACCACCGACTCGACAACACGGCTGCGCGCCGGCAACATTACAGCGAAATTACACTCCCCGGGCCCGTCGAAAAGGAGTGAGAGGAGCGAGACGAGCACGACGAGGAGGAGGAGGCGGTGGTATATGCAACGCGCGCGGACGATCCTACGTCGAATGCAATTTTATTCCGGGATAATTGGATCCACCTCGGGGGCCGCAGACTCCGAGGCGTCGTGCTCGCCCGCCCACTCGCTCGCTCGCTCTCGTCGTTCGATCCCTGAATCACGATTCCTCGGCGACGGAGATTTCCAGCGGATACCTCCGTAGCACCGAGAGACAGAGAGAAAGAGCCTGCTCGATTCGAAATGTGGACTTTGCGCTTTTACCGTGGGCTCGGCTTTGTTTCACCGTCGTGATTTCAGCGGGATCTTGCGCGTCTCTCTCTCTCTCTCTCTCTCTCCTCCTCTCCTCTCTCTCTCTCTCTCTCTCTCTCTTTCTAAAGCACGCGATAGACGGATCTGAAGAACCGCAATTGCTCCGTCGATTAATTCTGATTAACTTTCGGAGAGTAATAGTCTTGAAAATTTTCACTCTCTCTCTTCCCGTGATAAAGCGAATGTCGATGCTCGACTTGCAACGTTTATTTCACCCGTCATGTCGCTCTTGAAATTTCTCAGAGTGAAATTCTGAGTTCTCAATCGACGCGAGTGTATGGGCGAATTGATGAGACAAAATTTTATCAATCGAATACATCCAACTCGTACCACCAATTCGGAGTTTGAAATGTTCACTATTCGACCGGTATTTCGCTCGAACAAATTGGAAATGTCAACGAATAACGGGCGAGGTTTGCCGAAATTGTCCGGGTTATGCCAAAATTGTCGAGCGTTTCGACGCGATGGATACGGTGCCTGCGAGGCTATTTTCACGATTCGCGCGCGCGCGCGCGAGAGAGACAATAAGAATCCGTTATCGTTATGACTTTTGTAGTTGTACGTGTACACGTCGGACGGGGCTCTCAATGGACTCGCCGAAGAATAGCCGTTCGCGAAACGAGCGCATTCGTCTCAAGGTGAGAGCCCGGATTCCCCGAGCGCGAACCGCGCCGCGCCGCGCCGCGTCCCTTAATTAGTGGTTGGATTTGCTGCCGGTACATCTCGCGCCGGCCGAACGTCGTTGTTCGCGTAAACTAGACTTTACATCAACGGCGAGCCGGCGGTTTACACCGGGTACGGGGAAATTGAGTTAGGTAGGAAAAGCCGAAGGGAGTTAGCGTGAAGAGAGGGAGCGGAGCGGAGTAAGATTTATTTTAACAATAACCCGTCAGACGCGCGCACACACACATACACATACACAGTAGTACTTGGAAATTTTCTTAGAAATAAACAGGAAGGATAGGAACGAGAAGAGACAAAACGGAAACCCCCGCTATTTTAAATTCTAAAAGTAACAAATGATACGCAAGAGTTTGCGATATAAATGGCAAAAAGACGAAAACGCCGTGCAAGTACCACGAATAATAAAGAATGAAATTAAATATGTATACCTTTTTCGGGTTTTTTTTTTGTTTTATATGAATGCGTAATAAAATACGTGTTCCCCGTATAATCACGAAAAATGAAAGAAGGACATTTAAAATCGCATTTAGGATCAAGAGAAATATTCGGTGCGAATAAAAACGAATATAATTCTCGGCAAACGTAATGTTTTCATGTAATCCATACGAAAATAAAATGGAAAAATGGAAAAAAAAACGAGTGAAAAGTAAAATACACGTGCGAGTAATATAATAAATATATAAAACCATCGCGAGGGAAGTTATAAGTATCATTGTGAAAAAAAAATTGAATCTTCGTGCATTCATTATTTATTGTCCACTCGTTATTGTCTTTTCGTCGCGTCGCGCGCGCCTCTTCTACGTTTCATTCCTTGTCTTCACTTCCCGAGCTGGAGCTCCGAATTCGATACACACGCGCGTGCATACATTTACGCGCGGAATTTCCGCGGAAAATATTGGCTCGTTAGGGGAAAATCGAACCCTCACAAGCGGACCCGACGCGTTCTCGAGTTAATTCGATCGTCCTCCCAAGAGCGAGTCGAAATTCCACGTTCTTGAGGAGGAACTTGAGGGAATTGATGACGCTCATTGTCTTGAGATAAGGGCTCGAATTAACTTACAAGTGGGACGGCGAGAACGCGTATTCGGAAAACGGAAGCGAAGGTGCATTCAGGACCTGCCGACCGACCGACGGTTGGAACGGGGCGGGGGGAGGGGGCAGGTGGAAAGAGCAGGAGGGAAGGATATGAAGAAGGGTCGGAGATTCCGGAGATTCGCGCGCGCACAGAGGTCGGATTATTAAATTTAATTAACACCCCCGGTGAAGCTGCGTCGGCAGCCATATCCGACGCAGTCGATAAAATAAAGCCGTGCCGAGGAATGCGATGAGAGAGAGAGAGAGAGAGAGAGAGAGAGAGAGAGAGAGAGAGAGAGAGAGAGAGAGAGAGAACGTTAACGTGCTCTTCGTGATCGAGCGGCTTATCAGCGTCTCCTTTCACCTCCTTGGCACCGCCAAGAAAGAGAAACGCATGTTTGTTCTTGGAGAAAGTTCGTATAAAAAAGCTTTCCGCACGATATCGCGCAAATGATTCATCCTGTTTCTTCACTCTGATTTGAAAATGTTTCTCGGCTAAAAGCGGAGGATCTGCAACGCGAATTTATGTTGCAGACTTTGTCGAACCAGTCTGTAGCAGAGACCTGGTAATGAGAAACGCCGTGAATATCGAGGCAGTTCCAACGGAGAGATCTCCAGTATCACTGCGCGAGTCGACTCGCCCTCCTCAGCGAGAATCCTCGAAACATCGCTTGCATTTCGATCGAAATAAACAATCGCGTCTCGAGACGATTCTCCGGCGCGTCTCGCGCGAGCTGCAACCGCCGACGGTATCTTCTTCGCGCCGCGCCAATTCTTGCCAAGCCTAACTGATATTGTCTCGCCGTTCTCTTTCTTCCTTCTCCTCGGAGCGTCCCCGCTCCGCGCAAAAGTCCCCCACGGTCGGTGCGATTTCCACGGCGATCAATTTACCGTAACCGATTCCCGATTACCGCGATCCTCTCGCGGGACCTCCGCGGGTATCGCGGAACGATATTGGCAGGGGTTAAGCCGCGTGCCGCGATAATTCCCCAATTTCGCCCGCGTAATCGTGTTTGCGGCGCAGATGCGCCGATTCCTGCCGCGTTTCTCACGAGAGAGCACGCGAGCGCGCGCGCGCGCGCGCGCGCTCTCGCGGATGTCCCACGACAAAATGTCGAGAAATTGTGAAACCGCAAACCAGCCCCCCAATTAGCGGACGCTGCGTCCGGTGCGTCCCAGGCCACCCTTCCCCTTCGTCCCTCACCTCGGCCACCTTCTTCCACCTTGCAACTCTGCGCGGCGGAGTGCGGCAGGTAGATGTGATCGCGAGGTGAGACAGCGAGAGGGCGAGGGAGAGAGGCAGACAGAGTCTCCGAGAGAGCAGCCGTAGGCAACGTTTATGACAACCGAACGTCGGCGACACGCATGCATGTTGCATGACCACGCCATATGGAGACAATGTAGCATGATTAAACAGTCACGCGATGCACAGTGTGGCGCGACGCGACGCGCCGCGGCGCGGTGCGGTGCGGTGCGGCGCGGCGCGGCGCGGCGCGACGGGGTGCAGTCGGCTGCAACCGAAACGAAGAAGAAGTGGTGTGGCGGTAGCCCGACCTGTTTGCGAAATGCGAACCGTCACGCGCCTTTGGACGCGAAAACGAGCTTTCCCTTACATGACGATTTACGGCGAAAAGTAAACGACGGATAACGAGAGGTCCGGAGTACAGTAGGGTGACGGGAGGGAGAGAGTGGGGGGGGGAGAGAGAATGAAGAAAAAGAACGGAAGTGGAACTGCGCGAGTGTAAATGGCTGTAAAGGTAAAATTCGGAAAGTACGGGGGAGTGGAAGGGAGAGGACGAGAGAGACGGAGAATGCGGAAGAATTAGAATAAGTCGCGGGCGGGACGGAGAAAAATCGCGGAGCGAGTTTTCAGAAGTTATTGTTGCCCGATTGCCAACAGAAAGAGAGAAGGAGAGGAATTGAGAGAAGGTAGACTGGGTCGCGCCCGTCTTATTGCACGTCCCGCGCGAAGTGCGACGGAGAACGCGCGAGAGAGACGGAGAAGAAAATTTAATATTATTATTAAATAAGAAAGTTCTCTCTCTGTCTCTCGCGAGTCGAGCTGATTGCTAATTTGTCACCGTCCCGATTTAATTATACCGTTTAGCGAGGCGAGAAGGAGGAGGAGGATGTATTTACGTTTTCTTCCAGTGATTACGGCGGAATGTGACGTTGCCTGCAGGGCAACGTCGGACGGGGGGGAGGAAGGAGCGAAGACCCGCGGAGAGGGATTATTCGCGCGAGATAATGAATCGCAGTCGTTCAGCTGATGGAATCGTCTCGCGATTAAAGCCCCTTCGTCGTCGCGAGAGAACGCGATTTTAAACACTCGGCAATCCCGCCGGTCTGACGCCGACGGAGACGTCCGGAAGTGTCTTCAGTATTTTCGCGGAGATGAAAAATCGGCAGCGTGTGAGAAACGTTTCGAAATTTCGTCACTCCGCATTCTGTCGAACAGCATCCGCGAATATTCATCGAGACGGGCGTTCCGCAAAAGTTTCGTGCAAAAAGAAGATTTCGTGAAGAAACAGAAGGGGGAATTTGACGAGCGGACGACGCGAGTGTTGAAAGGGCCCAACTTCCCTCCTCCCCCCCCGAGCGAGCGCAGAACACACTGCATAGCCTGGCAAAAGGACGAAGGGAAGCAAATCGTCGAGTTCCCGTCGTTTCAATTGACATCCCGCTGCCGTCGCCGTCGTCGTAGTCGTCGGTCCCGCCGTTCCGCGAAAGCGTTTTCGCCCCGCCGCGCTCCGTCGGGCCCCGGCTGGTCCCCGTGCGGGACGACGACGTGGAGGCCCCCGGCCGCACCACGCCTCCGGGGCCCGTCGATTAGCCTTTTTGCCAAGTCCCACCGCGCGGTACATTATACACGTAATAACAGCGGGACAGACTTGCGGCCAGATGAGGCCCCCGATCGAGAAGCAAGAGCAGCCGGGAAGGAGGGGGCAGAATGAGAGGAAGAGAAAAGAAGAGAGAGAAAAAGAGAAATAGAGACAGGGTGGAATCGGCGAAACGGATTATTTCGCATCGCGAGGGGGACCGGCACGAGTTCTCGCGGTTCTTCGTCGGGCCTGACGGCTCAGATTGCGGCCGCGGGTTATCTTCGAGTTGCATCAGGCGGCTGCCGGTTTTCTCAGATCGACGCTCTTACGTTCTCTCGCGACTCGGATTCTACGCGCGCATTCGCGGGACAGATTAATAACATGCTTTCGAGCGGGAAGCGTTCGG